CGCCCTTTAGTGTAAACACTCGATATATACATCCCTGATCCTGTCTTGTTCTTTTGGAATTCTATTACCTTACTCGCAATTATTTCAATAGTAACTTCCATACCCATTACCCTATTAACTCAACAAATTTATTTCTCAATAATCTTATATTCTCTTCTGTCCTTTTTTTTTTACGTATACAAGAGAACAAGTGCACCAACCTCTGCAAAACCACATCCCCACCTGCTTTAAACATTTGTGACTTAATCCCATCTCATCCGGTTGTTATATAATCTTTCATTCTACCCAGTGCCTCATGCACCTCTACACTCACATCAGGCTCCTGGCCAATGCAAAAAATTAACTCCTCTATTCTGATTTTAACTGTTAAAATCTATTTCTTTTGGTTTTGTCGACTTTTTGATCTCACTTCAAAACTTTATCTTATTCTCAGCAAAATTTGTTGATAAAATCTTTCTCCCTCTACCTCTTACTTTACTGTAGCTAATACTAAGTAATCATCTGTCACCCCCCCCCATCTATAAACATGAATATATATAAGTTTACCCATCAGTTTATTATCTCTTAACGTATAGTCCAACAAACAGCTGTCACAACGCCCTTTATCGTATCTCGTATTTGTATTTATCCTAATTTTCCGAAAATGCTTATTACCCATTACCAAACCTACCTCTGTACATAACTCAACTAGAAGACCCCATTATCATTTACCCCTTGCGCTTCAATCTTTCTACTGTTTCTAGAACAACTTTTCCCTCTTTCGTATTTAGTTCCCAAAAATCGACTACTTTTTCATTTGCGTCAAAACTCCCTAAGTACTCACTTAACGCTTACCAAAATATCTCTCTCTCCTCTACATACCTCTCTTTCCCTGCTGCATAAGTATTAATATAAACGACTTTTCACATCCATCCTTATTTTAATTTCACATAGAACTTTAATTAGTATATAGTAGTGCCCCAGTATCCGCGAGGAATAAGTTCCAATATCTACTGTTGATATCTGAAACCGCTGATAGCAGCGAACTCTGTATGTCATTTTTCAGTTGCATACATACCTATGGTGAAGTTTAATTGATAAAATACGTATAGTAAATTGGAGAATTGGGCTTTGAAGAACTGCCTGCTTCACTAATTTTGTGTTTTGGGCCCATTATTAAGCAAAATTAAGAGTTATTTACGGGCAACAGTAAACAACAGATATCTGAAACAGTAAAAACAGAATCCGCGGATACGGGGGTTCTACTGAATTTATGTCCCCTCTTTTTCTTCCATAGTTGATCATTGAATATTACCGATACTTTTTTTTAGCTCAAATTCTCTCAGATACACATGATCTAATCCCATTTACGTCTGCCCACTGAAATTTTTCCTAACCCCTTTAGCTTCGTTTCCCATCGCTTAGACTTAGAAAATCCAGCATCTGTTTAATCAATATATTTACAGTCAACACTTTCTTCACTTATATAGTCCACCCACGAAT